AGGCAGTACAAAAGTGCAAAATGTTAAAAAGTGAAGACTTTCACATATCATATAGGCACTACCAGCAACAGGAGAGGCCAGAAGAAGGTGAGGAGGAGACTGACAGCACCTAACACAACAAGCCCCCGAGACCAGCCTGGATGTGTGGGGCTGAAACCAAGTGTTTACAGCTAACGGCTTAACCGGAAACCCTTGTACAGGTTTTGTGCCCCTGGAAAGCCTTACCTATTATATCTCAGTAAATGTTCGATGTGTTGCCAATAAAATCAGAACTCTCCACTAAAAATACCATAAAATCATACTCACCTCCCTATTTTACTTAACTGGTAATAACAGAAATAAAATTTGTTTCATGCATGACCAAAATGTTAATAATTTACCAGTAACAATTTTAAACAAAGCATATTAAGCTTTTGTGAAGTAAACTTAGTGAATGTTTTTGTGTGAAACAAATATAGAGATGCCTCTGAAGAACAGGGTCAGCTGGGATGTAGTAGTAAAAGCTAATCCAAGGTTTTCAGTGCTAGGGCCTCAGTCAGGTGAGTGCAAGTGATCTGCCACTGAGCTACACCTCCAGTTCACGGTTATATCTCATTTTTATGTCTCTAACCTGTCCTAATTCATGAAGGTAGGGGTTAGGAAAAAAACAGGATCAATAAATTTATGTATATAGCTGGTGATCAATTAAGCCACGTTGAATTTCTACAAGTGTTAGAATTTCATACACCTGTGGAGAGATTTAGATAGTATTTTTGATACAGCCTTAATATAAAAGTGAATCCTGAAGCATGGTTAACATATAATGCCTTATCTATTATATAAGCAAATAGTATAAATGTAGTAATTGAATGTGTAATAATGTAATATGAATAAATATATCTGTGCAATAGATATAAATGTATGTTTATATAATAATGAATATATTTATGTAATGAGTAATAATACTTATGGTAAACAGAGAATGCCCTCCTTACAATTATAAAAACTTCTAATGTATTATTTTATTAATACTGCTTCATATAAAAGTTTTTATGAATTACTGAAGTATCTAATGTACTACTTTATTAGTACTCCTTTATTAGTACATGAATTATTAAAGTATCAGTTGGCCACAAAACCTAGTAGTAGATTCTAGCAAGGTAAGGACTAGTTCAGTCCTCTTTGTGCCTTCTATGTTGTGTCTTTGTTAGTTTGTTAGTTGGCTGGTTAATCCTCTACTTTGTTTCACATGAATTTAGGATTGCTCAATGCCTTTCACATCGGGTATTTAATTAGCATTCCATTGCTGGTCCATACTAGCGTAGAATACTAGATGAATACATTTCAGATGGTCCCGAATACACAAAACTCATGGTTTCTCACAATTTTGGTCTTACTAATTTATCAAAGAAATAAAATTTCTTTATGTCTTTTGTGTTCATCCAGAAATTATGAATTAAATGTTAGTCACTGTTTTTCAGAAAGGAATTTCTATGGGTTATGTTTGCTCATTTGTTTTGTTGTTTTGAGACAGGCTCTCGCTATGTAGCCCAGACTGGCCTCAAACTCATGTCCGTCCTCCTACTTTAGTCTCTTGTGCGGGGAATATAGGCGAGCACCACCATGCCTCAGAATAGAATTTCTGGAGTTAGCTGGTGGTTTCAAGAATTTCAGTTGTAAAATATATTTTTCAATAGCTTTTTGTGTGCATATACACACATATTTACACATACAAACATGTATTTACATTTTGGACAGAATGATGTATGTGTGAATACACACACATTCATTCATTTATTTATTTATTTATTTATTTATTTTTACCCCACTGCTTTTCTTAATAGCAACAAAAGAGGGGCTGGGGATTTAGCTCAGCGGCAAAAGCGCCTGCTTGGCAAGTGCAAGGTCGTGAGTTCGGTTCCTGATACCGGAGAAAAATCCAAAAAAAAAAAAAAAAAAAAATAGCAACAAAAGAAAAATGCAGAAAATATAAAGTGAATCTGGAGTAGGTCCTATGCAATGAACTTTTTGGAATCCCTGTCAGAGAAATACATTTCATCTCTTCATAGGTATTCAAATCAATAAAATAGAACAGAGATGTGAAGACTTGGCCCAGGAAAGTTCAGTCATGTTAACCCAGTGTTTTAAAGAGTTGTCATCAAATTCACTTTTAAAGAGAAATGGATATGAACATGGTTCTTTTTAAGGTGCTGATCCTCTATAGTTAACGTAGTCAGCTCTTAATCACAAGCTACTGTATTGGTTTGCCTGAGGAATCAGTGTCACAGAGACCAGAAATCCTCAAAAAAAAAATATTGCATTCTCTCTGCAGACCTACATGGGAATCAGAAGGTGGCCTGGTGAACTAGGAGTCAGCACAGAGTTCAAAGAATGAAGCTGCAATGGCATTAGACTGGGAGAGCTTAGGCATCCCCAACTTAGACATCCACTGAACTACCTTGTTCTCTCATTACATCTACATCAGAGATATTAAGAATACAGTAAGCCTTGGGGAAGGAGGTGGTGGTGTACACCTGTAAGCCCTTATTCAAGAGGCTGAGGCAAGGATGTCATGAAGGCCATCCTGGGGTACAAAGCTAGTATGAGGCCAGCCTGGGATACATAGAGAGACTTAACTCAAAAAACCAAAACCAACACCAAACAAAAAAGCAAGCAAGCAAGCAAGCAAGCAAGAAAGAAAGAAAGAAAATAGAATAAGTGATGAATAGAAGCTCCACAGGAACAGAAAAAAAAATTAAAAAGACAAAGATAAACATTTGAAAATGATAAACCAGAAATTCAAAGTAGAAAAAAGGATGAGGTATCTAGACTTAAGTAAATAAAACTCCAAGAAATTGAATTCAGGAAACTAGATTAAGTATAAAAGGCTTTAGTGGGCCAGGGATACAGCTCAGCTGCACAAGCACCTGAACTCACAAGGTCCTGAGTTCAATTCCCGGTACAAAAAAAGGGTTTAACACATGGTAAGCAGAATATAGGTCTAATAGCAGTATTCTTACCTACATTTTCTGTTGATCTAGGGCCCATCACATTTCTAGATTATTTTCTCAAACATTTATTATGACAATTTACAAATATATAGCAAATTGAAAGAATTTTATAAAGAACATTGTACACCTACCATAGACTGCACCATTCAAATTTAGCTATTCTTCATTTATCATGTATCTATTAATTTCCCTACATATTCATCAATCCATGTTATTTTTGGTGCATTTCAAAATATAGAAATCAGTAGAGGTTCCTCTAAATTCAGCATATATGTCATTAACTAGAACTAAATACCTGTTGATAATTTCTCCATCGTAAGTAAAATTTATACAAATGTACAAAGCTGGTTTTTTTGGGTTTTTTTTTTTTGTTTGTTTGTTTTTTCAGTACTGGTGTTTGAACCCAGGGCCTTCACACTAAGTTACATCCCCAGCTCTTTCTTATTTTGAGACACAGTCTTGCCAAGTCACTAAATTGCCCAGGCTGGACTTGAACTTGCAGTCTTCCTAACTCAGCCTCCAAGCACCCTGGGAAGTATGTACCACTACGCCCAGCTACAAATCTTAAATGTAAATTTCTAAATTGTGATACATGCCTACACCTGCGTATCCCACATCCCTATCAAGATGTAGAACATTCCTATCACTTCAAAAACTTCCCTATAATTGTATGTGTGTGTGTGTGTGTGTGTGTGTGTGTGTGTGTTGTATTGCTGGGATTGAACACAGAGCCTTGTGCATGCTTGTTAAGTGTTCTACCATGCCCAGCCCCTTCATGAATTTTTTCTTCGTATTGGAGATTGAACCCAGGTATACTCTATGTTATGGTTTCTGTCTGATGTGACCCCCCAAAGCTTCATGCAGTCATGGGTCAGGCTTTTAGAGTTTATAATTGATTCACGGGTATTAGTGCTATACCCACCGAAGCTGCTCGCTGCCACTCCTCCCTTTTGCTCTTGTTGCTTATGCTGTTTTTGTGTTGCCATCAACTGTTGCCCTCTACCATGTGACACTCTGCCTTGGAGCCAGCCAAGTATGGACTGAAACCTCCACAAACTGTGAGCTAAATAAACCTTCCCTTCCTTAATTTTGGGTGTCAGGTATTTTGTCCCAGCAAGGAGAGTAAAGTAATTAAGACACTACCACTGAGCTACATCCCCACCCCTTATTATTTTTATCTTGAGACATGGTCTAGCTAATAACCTAGGCTGGCCTCAAACTTGAGAGCCTCCTACCTCAGCCTTCTAGAGTGCTGGAATATCAGGTATGCACCAACATGCCCAGGTCCCCTCATAAATTTTTAGGAGTATTTTGATTTTAAAGGGAAGAAGATAACACAAGTGTTAAAGTACAGTGTGTTTCAACTACTGCTTAAAATAGCGGGGAAAACTTACTGGTGGTGTTATGTTGTGGGTAAATAGAACACCGTGAGCATCATCTTTTTTTTTTTTTTTTTTTTTTGGGGGGGGGTGTTTTCTACGGTACCGGGAACCGAACTCACGACCTTGCGCTTGCCAGGCAGGCGCTTTTTGCCGCTGAGCTAAATCCCCAGCCCCTAACATCATCTTAATAACTCAGTTAATTAGATCCAGGAGAAATTATTTGCTGCTCTTAAACTTCAGTTTCAAGTTAAAGAAAAGACAAATGTAAACATGCAGTTTTAGGAAAACTTTCTTCTTTCACAGACATCCTCACTGACCAACATAGAGGGAAAAGTGCACATTCAGATTTCTTCTAGCTAACTACTAAGACTACATGGATCTAGCTGGTGACATCTGGTTTCTTTCTTCTAGTACTTAGGGGTGTGTGTGTGTGTGTGTGTGTGTGTGTGTGTGTGTGTGTTGCGAAGGACTGCGCCAATTACCTTTTGGGCCAGGGATATAGCTCAGCAGCACAAGTGCCTGCTTGGCAAGTGCAAGGTCCTGAGTTTGATTCCCGGTACCAAAAAAAATAAAATAAAAATAAAAATAATTACCTTTTAAGATAATAAGATAAAATTATTTACATTACCAGATTTGATCTTCATGAAGTAGCAGTCTGATGTGCAACATTTCAGAAGTTACAGCTTCTGGCTATAGAGCATGGAATTTTAATCACATCTGTGCAGCACCTAGACATTGTGATGTCATTAAAATGTTGTACTGAAATACCCTTTTAAGACTTTTACTATGGAAAATTTCATACAGCCATACACAAAACAGGATAATAATGAATTCCCATCCCAAATAACGATTTTCTTAGCAAAAATGCATTTAATGTTCACCAATTCTAGATGAATTACCTGTTACTTTCCATTGCTGACTAGTATTCCATTATAGGGATTACCACAGCTTGTCCATTCATAATCTGATTGCTTGTTTGGGTGCATGTACGAATATATATTCACATACATGTTTTCAGGTGAATATAAGTTTTCATTTCACCTTAATGGATAAACACAGAATGTGTTTCTTCGTACAATTATTAAAATAGCTGTAATGTATTACCTTATTAATACTATTTTTATATAATAATTCTTTATGATTATTAAAGAATCAATTTGACTTTTAATCACAATACCTACTAGAGTCTAGCAGGGTAAGGACTGGTTCAGTCCTCTTTGCAGCCTGATAATCTTTGGAAGCTTGCTTGAACTGACAAGTCACACTTCACTTACTGTTTCAAGATTCTCCCTTTGTCTTTGACTTTGGACAGCTTGTTTATAAGGTGTCTCTGTGGGCCAAAAGCTGGAGCATTGGAGAGATGTTTCATTCTTCTCTTTCTCTCACAAGACAGGAAGCATGTTTTAGGAGCTTTTCCCCGAACACACTGAATTAGCATGGCTTCTGTGTCACTACCATCTCTCTGGTGCTTCAACAAGCTGGTTCTCTTCAGACCCCCTATACCAAGTATGCTGATTCCCCATCAACACTCTAGGTCAGATGAGATAAGCCATTTCCTCAAGCAACAACTCCCCTCTGCCAAAACCCAGAACATCAAACCCATGTGGTATGATCAAAAAATAGTTTGATGTTTAAAATGTTTAACAATTTAAAATGTTTAAATTTTTAAAAATTATAGTAATAACCCATTGCCATCAGCACCCTCCCCAAAATATTCCCCATCACTCTGAACACACTTATCCCATTGTTCTTGCCACTTTCTGAAGCAGTTCTGGAAATCCTTTCATCAGGATCTTTTGTTGTACTGAAAGTGGCTGCCCCAATGTTCTGAATCAATTCAAAATACCCACCTTCCAAAGTCATTTGATTTTGAGAAAGAACCAGAAGTTTCACAGTGCCATATCTGGTGAATAAGGTGCATCAGGATGCATGCTAATGTTTTTAAAGCCTGATTTTCCATTGGATGGCACCCAGCAGCATTCACTGTATTTTTGATCATAGTATGTAAAGATGTTCACAAAAGAGGACTTCTAGAACTGCTTCTGAAAGTGGCAAGAATGATGGGATATATACGTTCAAAGCAAGGGGAAATATTTTAAGAGGGATTAATGGCAATATGACTTGTGCTATAATAAATTTTTAAAAATTTAAACATTCACTGTATGTTTTTAATCATACCTTATATTTCACAGGGGCCCATGAATTTTATAACATATTTTCTAATCAAATTATTCTATAGACAGTAGCGCTGGAAAAAATATTTATGCAAAACACCATATACCCTGAGTCAACCCTGTCTGAAATATAGTTTATATCAGTGACCAGTGAATTTCTTTTGTAATATCATTATGAACAGTAATTGTAAGATTTTTATAAATTTGAAGTTTCCATCAATTATTGTCCTTAGTTTTTTTGATGTTTACCTTGTTCTCAAATTGTAGGTGGGAAGCTATGTTCTTTTGAAATGTCCCATTACTACTTGATAGCTTTCTTGCTTTTTTAGCACAAGACATTACAGGTTCATCACACAAAGTTCCTGTCCTCATACCTAGAATAAGCCATTTCTCCAAGGATACCAGATTCCTTTTAGGAGAAAATTTTATTAGAGACCAAAATCTGGGAGCTAGTGACACTCATTACAATTGAATTATCATTCATTAGAAGCCTTTCAATGAAGGTTTTATAATTTTTAAGACAGAAAAAGTAACATGTAAAGTCATGGCCTTACTGTGAATAATCTAATTACTACTCTATATGCCCTCAGTCTACGGCCATATCACCCTGAATGCACCGGATCTCAACTGTATGCCCTCAAACACTGAAAATACTGAAAAACTGCCATATTTAGACTGATTTATTTTTATAGATTGTCTAGATTTATTTTTATACTTGTAATACTACTGGTGATTGAACCCAGGGCCTTTGCACTGCGCTATATCTCAATCCTTTTTTATTTTGAAACAAAGTCTTGCAAAATTGCTAAATTGCCAAGGCTGGGCCAACTTGCAATCCTCTTGTCTCAGCCTCCCACAGCACTGAGATTACAAAGCATGCACCAGCATACCTGGATTATTATTTGTATGCATTGGTTAACTACCTTGATATTATAGCTTATATCTAGATGTCCCCCTCAAAGCCTCATGTGCTTATGGGGGAGATTTTGAGAGTCATTGGATCATGGTTGCATGATACAGTGTTGGTCTCTATCTCAATTTAATCATATCTGTAAAGTCCTTTTGTCATGTAAGGTAACATATTCATAGATTCTGGCTTTAAGGCATGGAGATCTTGGGGGTCATTATTCTTTCCAACAGGTTGGAATAATGGTATTTTTAACCTCAGTTTTAAAATTAAAAAAGAAATCAATGAATAACAGATGATAGATTATTTCACAAACTGGAATGATAATGAAAAAGACTTTGACATTTAAATGCCTTTTCCAAGTTTGCCAAAAATTATTTTAAAAGACTTTGTTCACTATTTGATATTACTATAAAATTTTTTGATTCAATAAAAATTAAACATTTAAGTCAAAATATTAAGTTATATAACATATCTTTTCAACATATTTAAAAAGTTATGCTGGGTTTGTTGGCACATGCCTATATTTCAAGCACTCTAGGAGGCAGAGGCAGAAGGATGACAAGTTCAAGCCTATCCTGGTCAACTTAGCAACTTAGGGAAACCCTGTCTCAAAATAAATAAAAAAGGGCTGGGGATGCACCTCAGTGTAAGGATCCTGGGTTTGGTTCCTAGTACTGCAAAACAAAAACAAAACAAAAAATCACCAGATTTGTGCCCTGTGTGTACACACATCTGTAATCCAGGAGGCTGAGGCAGGAGGATCACCACGACTTCAAGGCCAGCCTGAGCTACAAAGTGATTTCAAGGCCAGCCTGATCTGTATAGTGAAACCCTGTCGCAAAAAGACAACAACAACCAAAAAAACTCACCAGAAAAGTGAAATGACCTCTTTTTTTAAACTGCTAGAAAATGAGAATACAGTAATCTTACTAACATGAAAAATATTACATAATTACTTAGAAAACTTACATTACTTTAGGAAAATCTTTTTCTTCAAGATCTTTGAATTTCCATCCTTGTGATAGATAAGAACATACTTAATGATACTGATTAAGAAATCCATTGCTCTCATTTAGATATTATTTTCAAAGACTTCATAATTAAATTTAAGGATTTTTAGGAACTTAATACCAAACTGTGACTTATACATTTAAAAGAAACATGGACCATGTTAGCCAACTTTGCAGTAATGCAATTACTGAAAAAGCAACAAAACCAACTGATACATACAATAAAGGAGACTGGAGACACATATTAATAGACTCAAAGCAAATATAAAATTAGTTAAGATTAGTTAAGGATTTTATTGCATTTCATTAGCAAGGTTATTTTTTAAATATTTCATGTTACTGTCATGAAACATCATATATCTCTATATAATATTTAATGTCATATGAATATTTAAAAATTCTTTAAGTTTTTAAAAAACTTTTTTGAAGTATAGTATTGGGGATTGAACTCAGAGAGCACTGAGCAGCATTTTTACCCCTAATTATTTATTTATTTATTTATTTTTCATTTTAAGGCAGAGTTTCACAAAGTTGTCCACACTGGCCTTAAAACTCTGAGCATCCTACCTCAGGTCTTGAGTGGCTGAAATTATAGGTGTGTGCTATCATGCCAAGAGATTATTTTCACACCTACATAATACCATCCTGAAAAGCCCACCATACACCTTCAGCCTTTTGTACTAGTTTCTGTTCCCAGTCCACATCCTATTTCCTATTCTCTGACAGTTATCAAAGGATGTGATTTCTAAGATACTGTTTTGTAAACACTATAAACTGAATGCATTCTACCCTATTTTATAATGAGACTCTATTGCTTTCTTTGAAATTATCTATTTAGATATCTTTGAATAGCATTTCAGAAGAGCGAGACCTTAATATTAGTTATGTCTAATGAAGATGAAAACTGGTGGGTTAAAGAAGTGTTCTTAATGAGGTAAAGACCAAAAACAGGATGAAGAAACTAGGAAACTGATGAGTAGTGACTGTGTGAAGAAGATAAAGATTGGCAAGCTGGAGAATCACCTGATGGTTTTGTGAGGGAATGTGGTTTTGCCACTCACTTTTACAAATCCATTTAAAAACTCTCAGGAGGCTTTACAACTTATATCACACAGGTATTTTCAAAATCTTGGTATTTGATTTCCAAGTAATCCTGTGTATTAGGTAGCCTTCCCATTGCTAGACACAAAACTTGACATCCACAACTTAAAGGAAGAGATTTAACTTGGCTCAAGTTTTAAGAAGATTCAGTCCATGGTTAGCTAGCTCCACAGCAGAAACATCATGGCAGAAGGGTATAGTGGAGCAAAGCTGCTTAGTTCATTGCATCAGCCAGGAAGCAGAGCAGGGGTGGGAACAGTGCCAGAGAGGAAGAGGCAAGGGACCAGATATTGTACCCAAGGTCACACCTCCATGATCCACTTAGACACACCCAGAAGTATCATACCAGTCCTCTAGATGGCACCTAAGCTAATCAAGGTAACATAGTCAAACTTAATCAATGTAACCTACTTACAAGAATTAAACCAAGCATGATTATTCTTTGTAGCAAATAAAACTAACCATCACAAACACCAAAAGCACAGGAAAGAGAAAAACAAATAAATATTGTTCCATTTTTAAAAATTAATTCT